GGGGGCAGATTACATCAATCATGTCTGCGCATTTAATTTAGGTTATTAGATTAAGGAGCTGTTGGTGTACCCACCTCGCTATTTAAATCATGGATTAAGTACTCAAGATAGAAAATCAATGCCAGTGGAAACGTCTCCAAGAATGTGAGGACATCTTGTGTTTCAAATTGACCATCTGGTGGGCGCTTGATGAAAATCTGCACACCTGTCTTTATCAAATAAAGTAAAATGTATTTAATCACTACAAATTGGTTTATAAGGCAATTTCTACAAAAAAGGTGGTGCCATTTAGAGCTGTTGACGTATACAGTCACAGATACATTTATATTCCAATAATCTTATGGGATTTATCGGCATTTAAAACAAGAATTTAAACATAAAAAAACCTCTGGCTCTGCCACTGACTTTATGTTTGACAAATTGCTACCATATGAGCACAAAGTGGCCCTTGGTTTTTCAATCATATCTGCCACACCCGTCATCAACTTCAGTTTCTTTAAAACAAGACGATGACAGCCAAAATGATCAGCTCAAGGCTTCAAAACAGGAGTACATAAATCACTGGTTGATGTCCACATGTACAGTATATGGTTTATGTAGACCAGAGACAGATTAAAGGGAAAAAAAACACCTCACTGTTTCTTAGTAAAGCATGGGAGTGGGACCATGAATCACTTTAGCAGCTTTAATGCACTTTACCATTTATTTATTTAGCATTTCTCAGACTCTGATGGAGGGATGGAATATGATTCTTTCTAAAGATAACCCCTCATTTGGTGTTTTGATGATAGTGGTTCAATGCACTACCAAACCTTAAAGGTCACTGCAGGTGATTCAGACAGTTTCATATGTATTTAACCATTGAGTGACTCTACTGCAGATGAGGGTATCAACGTCCTGGAAGAAGCCATTCCACCAATCAGACAAAGCAATTCAGATTTTCCTTTAATTTGTCACTTTTCTATGTCTGCAATACATAGTTGTATTGTACAACTCTGCCCTCTGCAGTTTGGTAGTGAGTGTGAAAAATGAAAAAGGCACCTCTTGGTTTCTTTGTAAAGTCCAATCTGCAAATGCCCACACGGTGTCTTTGTCTCTGAGCTGACTGAGAGTCGCCACGATGTGTCCATATACATCTGAGCAGGAAGAATCTTTACACAAGCCATCTGTAATCTTCACCCAAGTCTGGAAGAATACAACCAGTTAAAATACACTGCTTTCATACATCAAGTTTGTGTGAACATATGTGATGTTTTTTTGAATTGGGGGGGGTGTACCTTTACTGCATCAGTGTGCAGCCCGTGGCTTTCGTAGAGGGAACCTAAAGCAAAAAATCTGTAAAAGACAAAGAAAAAAAGAAAAGAAGTCAAAACGATTCTCAAAAAGTAAATTATCTGAAATAAATAATCTAAAATCAAAAGCATGGTTGTGTCCTAAGCAAAATATTCAGATTTATAGGTGTGATTTCAGATCATTTGTATAACTAATAATGATTCATTTTCACCTGTGGTGTTGCTCCAGAACAGGGACACAGAGGTCCAGACTGCACTTACTGGGAAAAGCAACAAGCTGTTGGAGTTTTTCATCATCGTTCATTTCTACATACAGTCTCAGGAGGGTGCTGTCCACTTCCTTACTGCACTTCAGGCCTCTCTCTGTCCCCCTTACTGCTCTGAGAAAATCTCCCAGGAAGGCCAGGTAATGATGAAATTTGTTTCTGTCCTCCTTCTTGAGCACCTGGAGATCTCTGCCCTTGTTTATTTGATCAAGATGAGATTGAAAGTCCTCGCTGAGACACATATCCGGGTAGAGGCGGATGATTTCTCTCGGGTCCAGCTCACCTTTACTGTTCAAGTGGGTAATAAGTATACATTTTTACATATGGAAGAAGCAGAAAGTACACATCTTTAAAGCAGTGTTCTGAGATTTATTTAGCATGTATTTTGGAGTGTTTTGTTATGGGAGAGGGAGTTTGGTCTCACATGAATAGATCTTTGGCTTGGGAAAAACCCTCCTGGTAAAAATGAGCAAATCCAGCCAGGCAAGTGATGGCCTTCTGTAGCTCCTGCGAGGGGAAAATAGTCTTATTTTTAAACCAGGCACATATTGTATGAGCATATTTAACGCACCAATATGTGAACTGAAATAACTGAGGCAGAAGACACTGTGACTCTCTTGAGGCTAAAATGTTACACTTCAAGAAAAACAAGTAGCAGAAAAATGGGAAATGTCTATGATTCATGATTGTGTTAATTAGCCTCTTCATCTTTAACCTGTAAGCTGAGATGTGGCACAGATTACGCTAAAAGTCAAACGCCATCTGCTGCCTTCAGTTGCATTCATCGATATCGAATATACCTGCGTATACTCTCTGTAAGGTAACAAGTCTATGCTTTGACAGTCTGATCAATGGTAAATTCAAACCATATTATGCATTGCTAGTTGGGTTTGTAATGCATGAATCTGAAAGTCAATATGATTGTACAAAGCAGCCGGAGCTACAGCAGCACACAAGCAGGCAGCAAAAGTAAAAGATTTGGAGGCTACCTGATAACGCCAAAGCTATATTTTAAAATCAGTGTGATGTGAGTTTGCATCCTTCAGTGTGCCTATAAATTCTGTTTCACCTTGTATGAGTCAAGTGGATGACGGCTTTGAGCCCCTTCCAGCAGCAATAAGGCCTCCTCAACCCTTTGGTGCCTTACAAGTGCCTGGATCTGCTCTTCGAATGGCACCAGGCTCAGGCTGAAAATGTCTCTCTCTGTGAACACTAACACACCATCTGAGGGGACATTTGCTTTTGGTTTTTAGAAACTCTCAGAAGGCGCAAGAACGACTGACTATATCTGAGCAAACTGAGACAAACATGACTACGTCTTTTAAAAACAAAACCAGGCTCTTTGCGATTAATCTGACCTGGATCAGATGAGAAACTGATGTCGCTGGATTTACCTGAAGTGGAAAGTAGACCCCTTGCTCCAGTGAGACTCACAGTCTGTTTGCGTTGCTGATCCAACATGCTGTAAACAGACAACAGTTCGGGCTGCAGGCTTAGGACGTAAGGGAAACATGCCCCGGCTGCCAGCACCTCCTGAGGCCACTGAAGGGGAGGGCGCTGGCATATCCCTGTCTTCATCACAAACATGCCTGAGGGATGAGAATGGAGAAATGATATCTTGGCAAAATAAATATCCTCTGGCTAGATGGATTAATGACTTATGAGTGATATGAAATGAGCTGTTTTAGAAGCTAAGCATAATGGCACATGAATGTAAAGCCTGTTGGATATTTTGGCAGCTCTTACCTAAAAATTCGGGCCCATTCAAGAGGAATTCTCCTTCTCCCAGTGAGGTAACGATAACATGCTGCCTGCTGTGATTATGAGGAAAGAGCTCCTCACAGCTGCCAGTCTGAATATCACAGAGGAGGTACCTGTCACTGGTGGCAAGACACAGAGTTGCACCATCCACCGCCAAGGCCACAGGGTCTTGGAGCACAGAGACTTCCTTTACAACCTCCCACCTGTCCACTCCCACCACATGGATCCGGAGCACTTTCCTGCGGCTGGAAGACGTCACCATCTGCACACACGTCCCCTCCGATGCGAGCAATGAGTCGCACACCTCAAACAAAGACACATGCTGGATCTTCTTCAGAGCAGGAACAGGCTCTAAGGAAAACATGTTGAGGGCAGTAACGCTCCGGTCCCACAGGACCAGCAGATGGTTGAAAAGTGGGACTGCCCTCAGTTGATTTACAGAGTTGCTTGAGCCTAGTTTTCTTGCCCTACCTTCTCTGATTTTGGTCAGGCCAGGGCTCTTGTCTCCATTTGTGCTGCTTGTCAGAATGAGGTGTTGGACTGTTGCATCTTTAGTCCCTATGTAAACATTTTGGTCATAGCACTCAAGGCACTGGATGCAGGATTTGTCCTCTTTTGAGACTGCTCGTTTTTCATATATGTGAGCTTGTCTGAAGGCACTAAAAGCCATTGCAAAAAAGTATTAATGTTGAATAATGGGATGCAGTTCAAGCAGAAGAAAAAGGAGTTCTTTCAAAAGTCACTGATATATGCTTAAATCAAAGCTAAACACAGTAAGATGTTCCTACCTCTCTGTTGTCCAACCTTCCTCTAATTCCTCTACAAGTTTATGAAGTGTAAAAAAGTTACAACTCCCCCCATGTGACTATATCCTGACAGGAAATCTATGTCAGCATTTTTTACCGCTCATCCTGCCATGTGAGGACACTTACACAACTCATCCAACAGCCTCACCAAGAAAACCAACTTTTACAAGTTCATGGTGAAGAAGATGGATATTTTTGAGGTGGCCACAGTTACGGCTTCTTGTGTTCTTGGTATGCGCGTAGGGCTGAAGCGGTCACTTTGGTCAGTGGATAATGGACAAGCAGAAGCGATCTGCTGATCGTGGTTTGTTTGAGTTTGTTTACAATGTCCGTGAGATGGGTGTGATGAGGTCAAGAGGCAACAGAAACACAGCAAGGGGGATTGTTTTATAGCGATGATTGCCCCAAGGATGACTAAGAGAAGACACTGTGGTCATAAAAACAGAAAAAAAACCTACCACCGCAGCTATATCTGTTACAGTGAACTTTGTGCCCTCTGTCCTCACTATGGAATTTGAGTTAAATATACAAAAGGCCCGGAGCAGATTAAGTTATGATGAGATGAACAAAAGCAGTACTAAAAAAGATCTATATGGCAAGACATATTTCACCTGAGGCAAATCCAAAAATCATGCATCATTTATTGTTTCTTTAGTGTGGATACGTTTATATCTAGGCACAACAGATGTACAATAAACTGCATCAGACAGCTAATGATTGCTTTGTCATCAAGAAAAACATACATGCCAGATTAACTTTAAAATCTGTGTGTGGGTGTGTGTGAGTGACATACAAGAGATAATGTCTTCTTTTTTAAAAAACAAACAAACACACTAAAATAATGACACTTGAAGGCTTTTTATGTGCAAGGCATTCTTGTGCGAGACTTTCGTAGATCCACAGTATTTCTATCAGACAGCAGGCGTTGTTGTCATTTGGGTAGAGCTGTGATCCTGGCATGTAAAGGTCATTTGTCCCTCCCGCAGTCAGTGCACAAAATGTTGTCACGCTGGGTGAGGAAGCCACGCCCCACCAGTGACACAGAGCACTGCATGCAGGTGAAACACTCACTGTGCCACTGGCGTTCCTCAAAGGAGATGTACTTGGCTCCTGCCAGACCTGCATGCATCAGAGAGCCATGCATTTATGTCAATGTAAAATCATCACCTTGTGTTGCTAACACTCCCTCGACAACACAAACTTAAAAGCTTAAATGTGAGTAGAATGAAAACTCACTAGTAATGGGCTTGGTGCAGCCCACACACTTCTTTGCGTATAGGTTGCTGAAGCACTCCAGGCAGTAGGGGTAATTTTCTCTGGTGGTGAAGCGCTGGCCTGACAGCTGCTTTCTGCATCCAATGCACAGAAAACACTCGCGGTGCCAGGGCTTCTCTTGGTAGGTCACCCCACCTGTTGTGATGGCCTAGAAGAAGCACAAGCAAGAGAAATAGAGCGCTTAGCAAAAAGAGACATACAGTGCTATTCCCATTTCTTCTCTTTATTCTCCTCCCTGCAGTGTGACTAACACAAAAATGCCAGAGTCAGGGGGATTTACTGTAGCACTCAATACACGTAATCCACTCAGCTGTAACCCTACCTTCTTACAAGCGGAGCACTGGTATGCAAACTGCTTCTCGAAGCAGGCCACACAGAAGTAACCGGTGTCTTTAGGGATGAAGGACTTGGTTCCTATTGGCTGCTGGCAGCGGTGACACAGGAAGCAGGTCTCATGCCAGCTGTTCCCCTTGTATTCCATTTTGCGGGAACCTGGCACACGGGACGAGAGCAGCTTAGTCAGCATATGGTCCTTCTATGACAGAAACACACCGCGGCCCAAAGCTGGCCTGCTTTGTCTGCAGGGAGGGGATGATGCAACTGAAATAATCTTGGAAAGAATTTTAGGCAAAGGAAGAAATTCTAGTCTTTTGAACTCTTTTTTTTCCCCAATAAGAAATAAATGTGTGTAATAAATGTGTGTAATAAAAACTTGTTGAATTTAGATTTTCCCAGGCATATCTTTTTGTTCATTGTAGCTTCAAAGTCGATACTTTAAGAGGTTTCACCAATTCATTGCTGCCTTATCCTTAAATTTTAGCCATAACCTCTGAATATATATTTAACACTATATTATGATCTAGCTTTCAGGTGACATTATCCAGTACCATCATCACTGCATGTACCTGGCATGATGGTTTTCTTGCAGGTGGTACACTTGGAGGAGTAATCCTGTGCATGGCACTCAGTGCAGAGCAACAAATCATCCTTGGCGGCAAAGGCCTTTTCCACTAGAGAGCGGCTGCACTTGCCACACTTGAAGCACTGCTCGTGCCAGTGACGATCCTTATAGGAGAGATCCTGCAAATATTTTGCATGTGATTATTATTGATGTTCTGTAAGGCTAATGGTTCATTTAACAGCTCTAAAACTGAAATCCTTCCACATTTCTCATCTACAGACTCAAACCACTAACCTCACATTCTCATCTCGCACTACACTATTCTCACTGTCTACACTGTTGCTTCCTTACCTTGCAGTTACAGCCGATTGGTAAGGAGCATGCCTCGCAGTTGTTAGCGAACAAGTTCTCGTAGCACTTAGTGCAGTACTGCGTGTCATCTTTCATTATGTACTTCTTCCCCAGCAGGGAGTCTTTGCAGTAATGGCAGTCTAAACGCTCGCTGGTGGGCATCTTATTTGCTTTTCTTAGCTGCAGGTCAAAGAGAGCAGAAGGATAAAAAAATGAACAATAAGGAAGAACAGGAGAGATAGGGAAAAGTAATAATAGTCCAGGCAATTTATCCTCTTTCTCATCAAGCAAGTAAAGAGGACAAGCAATTTCCCCTTCTTTCAAAAATAATTTAAAGGGGAAAAAAACAACAGTGTTGTATTAAAGAGTTCTCTACCTCAGTTGATTCAGGGTGAGGATGAGACTGAAGCCAGAGACTGCAGAGGCACAGGGATGGGGCAGGGATGAAAAGGGGTCAGGCAGGATTATGGGGTATCCACTAGGGGGGCTCTTCTATAAATACAGGCCCTCTTATTAGCAGTGATCTCCGGGGAGAATGGGCATACTTCACTGCATCGTTCTGCACCTTTTAAGGGAGTTGATGGTGTGCTGATCTCTAAGCCTTTGGACTGATTTATTCTTTGTTGTCTCATCCCCCGAATGCAAAAAAGCAGAGATTTGCAACTTTAGCACAAGAAGATTACTGTTGGGAAACATGACTGACCACCATATAAATAATGTAAGGCTTCCAAATCAGTTTCACATGTATACAGACAGTACATTAAAAGAGAAGATTTGAGCTTGAAAATGTTAAATCTTTTCTACACACTATTATCAGCTTGGACAGTGGTACCACAGCAGAGATAGTTAGTCATTTGGATGCTGTAACATGTCTGGACACACTTGTGGCCTTTGTCAGTGCCTCCTACACACACAAGCAGTTGCAGATGGCTTATGAGAAGTAGGTGCCAGCAGCTTTGTGACTGCCAGGTACTGAACTATATTGCCAGGACCTCTCAGTGGCTATTGAGAGCACCTTGGCAGCACTTCAGAAGGGTGAAGCTGCGTGCTTGTGGGCCTTCAATCCATCCCCAGCAAAATAAGAGAGGAGGAGCAGTAATGACAGTTTAAATGGTGACCATCCTGCTAATAGCGATACTCTTGTTACTCCTCTCGTTCTTTCCTACCCGTTTAAACATTTAAATTCACCTACGTCTTTGATTGACGGTTGACTAATTGTATTTGAATCATGGAACATATGCTCCGATCAGTTTTCCAAAGGATCAGGGGAGCAGACATCTTCATAAAAATAGCCTGGGAAGACCACCAGCCCGACCCACTGGTTTAATCCCTCACACACACACACACACACACACACACACACACACACACACACACACACACACACACACACACACACACACACACACACAGGAAGGTCAGTGACAGTGATGAGGCTGACAGGAATGCAGTTTTGTGTAGATGAACTCTATTCCCCTTTGTCTTCTCCCTACATTAACTCCAGTAGCACTCCTTGTGAAGAAATTCATCTAGAATTACACTCTGGTACTAAATCCATTTTGGGATCAGCAGATGATGCTGGTACATGGTTTTGCAGTGTATGTAGGCGGTATCTACAAACCTCTGAGGGATAATGTAACACCATGCTATTTTTTTTTACCTACGCTATATGTGTTATGTTAGGCTTTAAGCACAAAATAACAATTTCATGTCAGTAATTCAGGCAGGTTTTTTGTAATACATTTAAATATGTATATATATTTCTGATTTCAAGTCATAGCATCCTTCAGGTTCTTCTTAATTCTAAGCAGATCCACTGGATTACACCAAATTGTCTGGTGCTCTGGATTAAGTTATCACTGTATTGAATCCTTGTCTCCCGCTGCTCTTCATACAGTAGCAGTGGCTGCAAATCAAAAAGCCACACAAAACAAACCAAGCAACCCAACTGTAGGACCAGTGCGGCCAGTGCCTTGCGAAAGCTTCTAATCTTTGTTGCATTGCTTCTCTGTATGTCTGTCGTCATGTGACACGCAGGCAGGGAGGAGGTGACCTATATTCTCCACCAAACAAAAACTCTTACTCCTCTCCCTGAGTGTGTTGCCATAATACGAAAACCATGAGAAATAAATTGCATGTCAACCGCCAGTGTTATTCATTGGATATTAAAGCGGAGATTATTGTTTATTGCAGCTCTATCTGATAATCTGTGCAGGCATGGTTGTGATTTTATTATCGTGGCTTTGATTTGTATCTGATGGGAAGCAGGTGCTGGTTGTTGTCTCTTGGATTATTAACTTCTAGAGCAGACAGCGCCAACTCTGCCAAGCAAAGAGCTTGCTGATCTTGCATATTCCTTTTTGCCCGCATAATCCTCTGAAGTCAGCAAGTGGGCAACTGCCAACAGATTTCTTATGTGGCCTGTCAAGCCCCAATAAATAGGCCTTTATTTGACCTGGACTCAGGTGTCCTCTTATCTTAATGTATTCAGGCTTTACAATAATCAAATGATCGCAGAGAAGAAGAGAAGCATTTACTTTGGTGGCTCCTTTGAGGTGGTGACTTGTTGTAGACTGAGACAGATCAACACGACACAGTTGCATCTCTCTGAAGCACAAAAGCCTCACTGCACCAAAGCTGACAGCTGGTTGGCATGGTGATGACAGCATAAGTGGGATCCATTAGATTGAGATGAGGAGCTGCCCCAGTAGTTAATAAGTGGACTCACAGAAAGCTGCCCTTTGAGCAGGCCTCTGTGCTTTTCTGCCATGTGGAGAGTCTGCTTTCAACACAATATTTCTAACTGAACAGGATAGCCACACTGGGGGGTCGCTGGGGGGAGGAAGATACAATCTACTAAGTCTACAATCTCACAAAACATTACACCCCTTCAGGGAGGCCCCGTGAATGCCGGGGTAATGCCTTCACCAACTCTGCTCCTCAATCCACACTCTAGTTCTCACCAAAGTGAGTCATGGTATGAGCAAGTGACAAGATGTGCTACAGAGCCAGAAATCTGATCGCATTACTAAAGAGGAGACAGAATTGTCACCTCTTAGGCATGTAGAGCCGGAGACTTTGTAAAAGAAGGACTTTGATACAACCCACTGAAATGTTCTCTGGTGACTTGCCTTATTTTGTGGTATTTGGATCAGCTGTAGGTAAAGTTAGCGTTTCACTTCGAATGACAGTGTAGTGCTGAATGTTAGAATTTTTGTAGGCATTTGGAAGTATTTAAATTCTAACATGCCTTCTAGAAAGCTTCTCTTCTTTCTTCTGTGTTCGGCAACACCGTCCTGTAATGGTAGCTTCATGCTTACTGAAAGACAAGCAGTGAAGCATAAATAAACAAGTGTAATGTAAACATGCTTCAGATTCTTAGACAATTATAAAAAAAAAACCCACACACTCATTAGTGTGGTAGGAATTTAAATGTTTAAAAAAATAGCTGGTGGGAAATTTTGGAACTAATTAGGTTAATTGGCAACACATCAGTGTTGGTTTTGGGTGTTGGTATTGGGTATCTTAGAGAGGCATAGTTTTTCAAAAGTGGGCAGAGGTTCACCAGTCTACAAAAAACTACATCTAACATAACAGTTATCGTCTAGACTGCATAATATCATCAAAATATTCTGGGAGAATCTTATGGAGAAATTCTCAGATTAAACATTTTCAGTTTTCTGTGTTTTATACAGTGAAAAATGTGGATTTGTGAGATTTCCTAATCACTATATTCTGTTTTTATTTACAGTTTAGGCAGCTTCCTTTTTTGGAAATGGGGTTGTTAAAAAAAAAAAAACTAGGATAGAGGCTAGAAGGAAGATGAAAGGAAATGCAAAGTGCAAAGTGAGTGATAATTACCTCCAGGTTCATCGGTACAAGTCATCTCTGATATGACCATTGTGAAATGTTCTGTATTGTGTGCAACAGAGCAAATGTGAAATCTACAGTTAGGGACAGTGACCCTTGTCTGTGGCACGGACAATCTCCCCACCACCGTCTGAACTTTCACATTAATCCCCAATTGACATGGATGGATTATTTCTGCCACTGATCTCAGCAACACCCATGTTGACCTGTGGCGTTGAGTGGAGGTACTTGACAAAACTGTGTCATCTCTGCGTGGTGTATTGGATGACTGGAAATACCAAAGTACCAGTGAGGATATGGGGTAACTAACAACAGCCGGAAGATTGATTTGTAACCACCACAACACTCTCTCGTCCCTCTCATCAATCAGTTATCAAGGCTTTTGGATGGCTATTTATACCGCCGCCTGCATTACATGGCAATGTAGAACAGTGTGGGCATTGAGTGTGGAAATGACATTTGATATAGATGCAAGAATGCACATTAGGCAGCATCCTGCAAAATATTTCAAGCCAATTCTCATTTTTAACTTGAAAAATGAGAATGTTGACATAATATTTATAAGACAAATTTAAAGGAATAGTTAGGAAATAAGCTTATTTGCAAGATGCAACTGATACAAATGTCATGTCTGTGTAAACGCTATGACACTACGGCAGCAGCTGTTTAGCCTAGCTTAGCTTAGCTTAGCATAGTTACAGGGGAAACAGCTGTATGGGGATTAAACAGGTATTTGTTTAACCCCATTTAAAATGGTTGTGCTGCTTTTATAGAGCTCAGCTTCACTACAAGAGTTTGTTTGTTTTCAATTTTTATGCTAAGTTATGCTGGCTAGCTGGGTTTATAACAATAATAATAATAATAATAATGTATACTTTATTAATCCCTTAGGGAAATTATTCCTCTGCATTTAACCCATTCACTCAGTGAAGCAGTGGGCAGCCACCAATCCAGCGCCCAGGGAGCAGTGTGTAGGTACCTTGCTCATATAGAAGTGGATTTCCAAATGTGTAAAAGCAAGCATTATGTTTTTTTCCAGATAGTTTTAGCATAATCCAGCCATCCTTTGTCATGTAATACATTATGAACGAGCATCATTGGAAAAAAGAAGAAAAAATCATTAGTTTGTCCAAATCTTTATTTTCTTTTTGACACTATCAGACATATACAGTAAAACACAGCAGCTGGCAAGATACAACGATGGCGAAAAAAAATTAACTGACTTCTAATGGATTATTTCAGTGAACTGGCCTCAAATGGTACCTTCTGGAGAAACAACATCCCACCTAACCCCTAAAACTACAGCGTTTTTTTTTTAGGGAAACCAGGTCATATATCATCTAGAGAATTACTCTCCGGTGCAGCAGCGATCCACGAACAAATTTAAACAGGAGGATAGACAAGCTAAAGCTCCTTTTCTTTGTTTTTGTGCAAAAAAAAAAAAAAAAAAAAAAAAAAGCAAAGAGAGAAAACATGAAGGAGACAGAAGACACCCAAAAAACAGATAAAAAACCAATTCCTGTTTCAGTTCACTACATTGTTTGAATGCAGGGTCCACTATGACATTTGGAACCATACTCCATA